GCTAGTAGTAACAGGTGCCTTACTAGTAGTAACAAGAAGCTATTAGACACCAGTCTCAACAAAAGAACCAAACGCATCATGCGTGTGAGTCCACAAGTGAGCACCTGCCTGGGGTTGATCCTGCTCCGTGGTCACACCAACCACCTTGACATTGTACAAAGTGAGTTTGGGGAAGTTGCAATCATACCACGGCCATCCACCACAGTTCACAACTGCAGGGTCAAAACATCCGAACACAAAAGTTGCCACCTCCCGCAAGGCTCGTCGCAGCTGGTCGATGCTGCCCGAGCTCTCGTGCACACCTTCCTGTAAGACTAAGAGAAAGACCGGAAGGTGAAACAAGACCGAAGGAAATGAAATCGAATCAAGGAGCGTTTTATACCCCGACTCTCCACGGGGGAATGAAGGAGACAAAATAGCCCCACCTCTGACTTCGACAGCTGCCATGGCCTAAGAATCTTCCTCTTAGTTTTCCCTTTCGAGCTATATAAGTTGAACTGGGGGCACAGCTTGTGGGAGTCGCGCTTCGAAGCGTCGTACCTATACAGTTGGACAGTGAAAAGAATGGAAGGCGTTGACATTGACTTTCCACCAGTCGCACAAAGGATCAACGCCAGGTCCCAGCTGTCTTCTCAGGGCATCTAAAGCGCCCTGAGTAGAGATGCCTGGGTGGTTTTGAGCGCGAACGGTTCTCTTCACACCCACCACTAAGACGGTGGCCAATTTGGCTCATCATGCCATCGAGAAACATTGACATCACCTTTGGGCCTCGGTCAGCGTGTGCCTCTAGGGCTGTCTTGGAGCATGGGATGTTAAGGTGCTGACTGCAGATGGTCAGAGGATGAACTCCACCCCGAACCAGCCCCACAGAACTAGAACTGATGAAAAAATCAAAGCATGGGTCAGCCTCTGCAAGCTCAAAGAAATCTTCTAAGCTGTCAATTGCGAACTGATTACCTCTTAAGTCCCACTTTTACAGCGCAGAAAGCAATCGAGAACTGTAGTGTTTCAGCAGGCTCCTCAGGAGCGCATATGTGCTCCAGAGTTGGAGCGTCAGGAGCCGAGAATCTGGCTTTCGAATCTCTAGGATGAAAGCCTTCATTCATTGCAAACAAGGACGCTACTAGTAGCTCCTGGCCTTACTACTAGGAACGAGAAGCTACTAGGAACAAAGGGCATCGCTACCAGGAGCACGGACGCTACTAGTAACAATAATTGCAAGATCTAAATCACTTTTGGTTTAACTAACGGTTTGAGTGAGAAAAAGAAATGCATGAACACTGGACTGCAGAGCTAGCAAAGACACAATCTCTAGCATTTGGCACACATCAGTAATATGGATGCACCGTGTGCATCACATGAAGGGCTTTAAAAGGCCCCTCTAAGAAAAAAAACACCACAGTCACAAGGGAATTTGGGGCACAATTCGCGCCCAAGGCCCACGCACGGCATTGCTGGGTGATGGATTGGATTTACACAATCAAGAATGGACTCAATGCGTCAAGACTCCAAACTGCTCAGATGGTGCAATAGCACCCAGACATGCGTCGTGAACCACGGGAAGGGCTTTAAGCTCGGTTGTAGGTCACTCTGCCAATTGTCTCAGTCAGCCCACCGGCACTTTCAAGCTTACTACGGCCCTCACGAACGAAGACGGCAAGCATGATGCAAACCATCACCTCAGCACATGCTCACTGTTCAAAGCCCCAAAACGCACTTCATGGTCGCAGGGATTCACGAATATGCGTAGTCAATCAGACCAACATAAGTGCCCCTCAAAGCACCTTTTTCTCATCCCTCCCCTCGTCTCTCTCTCTCTCTCTCTCCGTTCTTGGGTCTGTCCTTTGCCAGCCAAACTTAGCAAGCATGAGCTGGAATCGTCACCTTTTGCCTGTGTGCACTGCCAAGTAGACCAAGCCCCGAGCAACTAGTGAAGCAACAACCGGGAACAGGATATAGCCCTCACCTGCCATGGTGCACAAGGATGAGGCCCTTACCATAGGTTTTGTTGCAGGTTGCTTGTCACTTTGTCCTGATTTGTGCTCGCGCCTGGCAAGAGGCGGTTCCTTCCAACGTTGCGGCCGAGGAAGAAATCGTACTTCGCTTCAACGCCTTCCTGTTGACATTGATGAGCACATGACAAGAAGGTTTGCACAGCTCGGGCAGCATGATAAGAGATTGACGTCAAGGAGCAACATGGAACAACAATTGTGGAATCAGGGGGCACAAACTTCTGGTCCCCTCCTTGAAGTCATTCTTCACAACGTGGTGCTCTTGGATCTTGTTGACTGGTCGGTTGAAGTGCCTAATTGCGGCGCTGTCATGTGCTGTCAGCAGCGCAGCAGCTGGTTGCTCTATGTTTGTTCCCTGGGCCAAGGGGCGCAAAGGGGAACTCAACTTTGAAGGTTTCCCACTGTGCCAGGCTCATTTTGAAGACGTGGTCGAAAACGAACCTGCTGAAGGGAGCCATGAAAGCATGCATAGGTGGTTCTAGGTGGCTACAGTCACAAATGCAAGTCGGGAAAGGTGCCATGTGCTGCAAGATGAGGACTCCTTTAAAAACTTGAAAGGCAAATACATATATATATATATATATAAATGCTCCCAATATCGGCATCAACGTCTTTCTGGTTCCAACATGTTTCAGCTCCTAGCTGCGGGACCAAGCTGGTTTCATTGGCACCAACTGTTGTGGGACCAAGTGACCACTTGATCTGTTCGTGGCAATCAGGAGTAGTGAAGCTGCCGTCATAACCTGAAACAGATCAAATCGCGCTGCTAATTGCTTGGTTCGAAAGGCCAACCCACTACATGATCAAAGAACACATGGAGGTTGTGCAAGGTCAAGCTGCATCACTTCTTGGGGGTCTCTGCATCTGCGTCTTCGGGCGGGTGCGGCACATTACACTGCAGCATCGGCCCCAAACTGCGGCAGTTAGTTTGATGTGTCGTTTTGCCGGCAAATCTTGATAGTTTTTGCCACCATTTTCGAGCCATAAGAGACTAAGGGGGACAAAGCAGAATCATCTCAGTCCATCATCCAATCCAAGAGAGCCATGGGAGACAAAAGAATACAAAAAGCTAGAAATCATCTTGGCCCCGATCGATTCTACGCAGAAATTGAGAACCCCTTACAGCAAAGCTTTCTGGGGAAACGTCAATCCGGGAAGCGGTAGAAGTCTCCGTTGAGAGCTGGCCCAAAGGATCGCATCAAATCAACAGGATGCTTGGTCGTCCTTGGCCAACTTGAAGTCTGAAAAAGCGTCTTGAGTCCATACGTTTTACATCGTTTTACATCCTTTGACACGTGTTTCTGCATTCTGCAGCCATGCATCTTGAAAGTGTTGTTGGGAATCGTTTCCTGACCTGACAGGCCCACTCGGTTCGAAATGGTGTGGTTGGTCACGGTGTCACTGGAATATAGGCTGCAAAAAAAGCGTAGGGTTCAGACCCAAATAGAACTGCTTCAAGAAAGGACTCTCTTCCTCGCCAATGTCGAACATGAAACCCAGAACCACCAGCGGGAAGGAGTCATATGTGTTCTTCCTCACGCCACGGCATCTTCGAGCTCCATCGCAATGTCTGATTCATGTGAACACCAAGACGCACCGCAACTGGTCTGAAAGACCTGCTGAATTTTTAACTATGGTTGATCTGACATATGTAATTTCTGCAGACTTGGGAAGGGCGAAATCCAGCCTCCGCAAACGTGCTTGACTCAAAAAAGTTCCAACAAGCGGTGTATGAGTCGCCAACACTCCCGCACAGACCCCCTGATAATACCCACTTCGCTCGCAAGATTGAATAACAATGTTCGACGATGCATCTGCCATATCCTGCTTTCTCATCTTATCATCGACGAATCATTGTTGCCGCGTCCCGCTTTGTCAAAAGCCTTCTGGCTAGAACCCTCTCTTCGCAAGTATGCCTTTGCGTCCTGACACGGAGGTTTTGTTCTAGACAGCCCCCCCAGAAATGCGGTTTAAACACGCTTCTTCGACATTCTTCGACTCTCCGCATCTAGATAGTTGCAAAATCACCCTATCTGTCCTTTCACGCATGGCTTGACTCAACGAACTAAAACGAAAACACCGCGAATCATAATACTGTATTTTATCATACTGGAACCGACAAATTTGCCAAAGGACTCAGGAAAAAAAAAGCGGTCACTGAGTCACACCGAGTTAATGATGCAAACAATGCAATCAACCGTTGCGGCATCACTGGCATCACCAAGGCTGTTATAGCGCAACAATTTGGCAACCCATGTTGTTTCGCTCTCCGCCGGTGCGAGAACTGGTGCTTCTCTTTTTGAAACAGCTTCGCTTACACTCTTCGGTAGTCGTTCAAGGCTCCACCAACTCATTGAGTTGTCAAGTTGCTCACCCTCTCAAGGCACACCAAACAGCCTTGAGGCCTTGAACCTCTAGTTTCATACAACTACGTTGGTGTTGTTTTAGAATGTTTTCACCACCCGACCTACAGGTTTTGGAAACGTGGTGGGGACATGGTTGTCAAGCAGGAAAGGAGACAAACGACAACATCTTGATCATCTTGATATGCAGGAGGCAGAATGAATTGAATTCATTGACACCCAGTGGACCCGAAAAGGTTCAGCCCAGGTTCTCTTGACCTACTGCAACTTGACGAGTGTGCACAACATGCAGTTCCGCTGAAAACTGCCGCCCATCGATCAAGTGCTCTGAAGGCATGTGAAGATGGAACTGTGCCTTGGTGTTTCTTGTCTGCTGCTGTAGCTTGCTGGGGACACGCAAGCAGCTATGGTAGTGCTTGAAAAGGACAGTGCATTAACTGAGCCCAGGGCAATGTCGTAAAAGTCGGGAAAGCCATCCTCACCAGTGAGTCTGATGTAGCCAAACCTCTGGCTGCGGAGCAAGCTGAGACATTCAACACCCACTTCTTGACCAAAGAGCTTGCTGTTTCTCAAAACTTGTCCACGCCAATGGTTTTTGTCCGTACCCCTGTGCTGCAAATATATGCAAATATCATAGCCCAGTGACATGTCATTGGTGATCTGGAGACTGTGACCATTGTTCGCGACCTTCAGGCCGCTCACAGGCTTCCAGTCCTCACTTCCCAAGTTCAGACGAGAAAGATGCATGGAACACTTCTCATTCAAGTCTGCCACTGCATCTGCTGCATTGCATTTAGCAAAAACAGTTAATCAGGTCAAATCAGTTCGAGAGGCAACTCGGCTCAAGAAGTCGCTGTTTCCCACCTAGTGCAGCCCCAGTGCGTGACTGGGAAGCAACTTTTGGCTAGAAGCAGAATGGAGTGAGCACAGGTGGCTGCCAGCAGCCTTCTCGACTTGATCTGTCAAAATGTTGATGGGCGACCTTACAGCAAGAGTATCATTGGCTACGCTCCTTCGTGTCAAACACTGGCCAGTTTCTGGCATTTTTGGGAAGCCCCTCTACCAGTCAGAAACCCTGGTGGTCACCTTCAGGCTATCACTGTTCCACCAAGCTACTGCCGAGTTCCTTCCTTGCAGGTGGGGTACATCACATCCCAACCTGGGCAATTTGTGCTCACGATGGCCACCAAAAGAAATATCATAGTATACCCCGGCGCTACCAAGAAGAGGTGTCAAGCACCCTCAGTCAAAACGGTCAATATAAAATGGGCCAAAAGGGTCAATATAAAATGGGGTGCAATAGGTCAGATGTGTTTGAAGTCATTCATCCTTGAAAAAAATAACACAAATTAGCAAAATCAACGAAAACCCTGACTGACTTCAAAAAAATGACCGTGACGGAAATGTAGTCATCAAACAGACATGAAATATAAACAAACAACGCAATCCAACAAGCGCAAGGCAGGAAGCTTTCTTCCAAGCCAAGGCTAAACATATAGAATGAGTTTGGGTGCCTTTTACATATAACGCTCAAAGTATCCAAAGAAATCATTATTTCTGAGACTAAGTGAGTCATATAGAAAGCGTGTGTCTGGCTGGGCAATCAGTAGTAGGACATGCCTCTGACAGAATATGCCGATACTTTTTTGCAGGGTCTGGTGGGGTAATGGTGGGCGATCCTGGTGATCAGAGAAAAGGCACTCGTACAACTTCCTGCGCCTTGCTTGCACGAATGTGGTGGGAAGTACGCAGGATTGTGAAGGTGCGCAACTCAAGTTCATGCTGATGTAGATGTACAAAGTAGTATTATATATTAATAATGTAAAAAATGTATAAATATATACTGTACATATATATAATATACATATATACAGTATATATGTATATATATATGTGTGTGCGTATAAACATACATTCGTTTCGGCTGACCCTTGGTGGCACACGCGATTTTGACATTGCAACTCGTGCTCTCTGACTAACCCATACGCCACATCTGCTTTGACGAAACACATCAAAAACCCGCCAAGCGTTTGCAGAAGCCTCGGGCCTACCTCCTGAAAAGGAGATCAATGTGTAAGTTCGTATTCGACCTGCCCTAAACAAACGCTTCCTCAGGAAGCGCCCGCCAGACTGCCAACTGGCTTATCATACCCCTTCCGAACTCCAGACCCAAATCATCCCTGATGGAAAGCCAAACTGACCCCAACTAGTAGCGTCACGCCTGCCTAAAATACGTCTGATCGTCAGCGCTTTTACAGCACGAGAAAGCCAGGACACTGGAGGTCGCCCTGACTTGACCACAGTTGTGGCAAAGAGTCCACGCTTACCGCCTACCGCTGCACGAACAGACCTTGTTAGCCAGACCCTCAGGCACACGAATGTGTGCAAGGCCCTTTGCATTGACCCAGTTTTTGCCAGTTACCGCCGGTAAAGGAAGGCGTTTGTTGCTCTGAGTGTCCTTCGGGAGTTCACACAAGGAAGTGTAATCCAGTAGGTCTGCAAAGCGAACCGTTCGATCATGTTTTGAGAATTGCACGAGGTTGAGGGTCCTCAGAAACCATGGCAGTAGTTGCTTGCATCACCTTGTGAAGGTTCGCAGTCAGACGATGAACAATCTGGAGAACGACTAGTGACTAGTATGGGCTTGAAAAGCTGTCAAGAGTGCAGCAGCCAAACTCGTGTCATCTTGTGGAAAACTTGTCTCCACAGGGGCATCCATTTGCGAGTGACTCTGGGTCTGGGATGGCTGGCTTCACCACCCGAATGCTGAGCCAGCCACAGACCCAAGCAACAACTTTCGAACAAAAGGCCTTAGCACAAGGGCACTGAGCGGACTGAGCGAACGAACGCGGAGCCTTTGAAGAAGCGGGAATGGCCTCAGTATTAGCACAACGATAAACAAATGTTCCCAATAGAGGACTTCCAGCAGCTGTGGTCGCTTGGCCTTACCCAAAGACCTGTAGCGTTTGGTTGACAACTTTGTGCAATGGTCCTTGCCACCCCCCCACAGGACTGCCAGCTGAGCCCTCCAACCCCGGGGACGCTTCGTCTTCCCTGAGCTGAAACTCCGCAGAGTCATCACTCATGCATACACCTGCTGCTTAAGCCGGGTCAGTTTAAGCCGGGTCAGTTTCGCCCTTCGTGCGCAATGCAGACCCACAAAGGCGCTGGTACTGGCAATTGACAAGCTTCGCTGACAGTTGAGTGTCTTCCTTCGCTTCAACAGTCCCAGTGCCAGTTGTGAATCAGTAGTATTGCATCCTACTAGTAACTTGAACCTGCTATCTCATGCTATCTCAGGTGCCAGCTTCAATCTTGCCATCATGATCATATTTACTGTACTTGGTCAACTGACGCTCTTGTCACCAAAGCAAAAATACCTTGCCTGCAACATCCTGCAACCATCTACGTCACCAGCTGGCGCCGTCAGCTCTTGTACCAAGCACTGCCATCAAAGGAATTGAACCATATGGAAGAATCTTCTGTGCAATGAACTCTGACCCTTCTCGCGCTACTAGCACCATATACTAGAAAATAATAGGATCACTTGTGCTGCCTTCAGTACAACCATAGCAGCCATAGCAACCACAACGACCACCACCATGACAGACTAAACAACTGGAACATCTTGAATAAGCCCCTTTAGCAAACAATCCAAGTAGAGTCTACAGCGAGAGCTCCCCAAAGCAGCTCCAGGAAAGTTACGACAAGAAAAACAACAATTCCTTGTTGCTCTCCTACTGCTAGGGCTACTACGGCTATACCTATAAACTCTGTTCATTGAACCTCTTTCATTTTCCAAACTGATTGAAATGTCCTTCAACATGATGGGATTACGGAAAAAGAACACGTCAGGTGAATTTCCACGGCACCCCCCAAAGATTAGGACATTTTGCCAAAAGCCAAAAGCCAATGGATTTCCGGGAAACACCCAGGGATTAGTCGAAAAACCTGGAGATTTCCGTGGAACCACACATGAATGATTGGTGTGAACCACGACATGAGCAACTTGTGTCCTTTCGTTCAGCCTTCTTGTGAAATCACTGCCAAGTTGTTTCCAAATTTTGTGCGAAGAAAGAAAGATCCGTGGCCAAAAAGCGAAGACCCACGCCGGGTAAACCAGGTAAATGCTATTCCCCTTTAGGCAGAGTTTGTAGGTATACCGCAGCTACAGCGACGGTTGCTACCACTACTGCAGGTTGACGACCACGACTACCAACTACAGTAATCACTGCTTCACGATGCGGCACGCCACCGTTCCTGGTCACCTTGCAACCATCCACTCTGGTCTGCAGCTTGCACCCTACGCAGCAGGTCAGAATGCAAACATCTGAATCCGAGTGCCGATGATTGCCGAGGAGCAGTGAACGTCATCGTATGTCCAGTGCGCATTGGGATCACACGTCTTGTGCCAGCTCAAAGCCCACATTGGAAGCCCATCCAGGTACACCTGCTCAGCATACTCCTGACCAGCTGCACCACTCTCTTCATTCACCAAACATGCATCAGCTGAGGCTAGTTGGATCAGCTTGAATCCTTGATGAACCACAAGCGCCAACTAGCTGCAGTTGCATTGCTGCTTCGGTGCTGTTCTCTATCTAATCTACTTCCGCAGAAGTTAGTCAAGTATCATATAATACCTCCTTGGGTTATCATGTTTGAAGGTCGCTCCCGGCATCTTTGCAGTGTCGAGTGCTGGGCAGCAAATCTGCCATCCATTCATGTACCCTGCTACTATCTAAGGTGTCTTTAGGAGACCATACGCCAGGCATCTTGCCCTCAGTGGCTCACATGCTTCCTTCCTATTCGCCTGAAAATTTCTCCGCCGTCCTGTCTGTTCAGGGTGATTCCAGGAAACCTGCGGCGAGGGATTGCATAGGGCCTACAGTCTGGTGGAATGAAATCTGTGACGAAAATCGATGAAGTCTCGACATGGTGGGCCTCACTGAGTCCATGCCAGTGACCGGCAGCTGCAAATAGTTGATCTGAGTGAGGCTTGCAGTGATGGGCGTGGTGAGGGCTAGCCACCTGAGGTCAGCTGCACGCAGCTGAACCCATCTATCATCTTCGTATTTTTCGTACTGATATATATATATAGAGAGAGAGAGAGAGATTTATACTTATTTATATGCATATATATGTATATATTTCTTCCAGCTTCCATGGAATCCTGTTGTAAAAAAATCTTCACACGGCCTCACACCCCACTTCGGGCAGGTCGGATCCACAGCGCCGCCACTGTAGAAGAGCCACTTTCCATTGAGGGCTTCCTGGATACCGCCCTGGCCATCAATCACACTCAAGGGCGCAAACCATGCAAACATGAGCAAAGCCTGAAACACCTAGCAGGACCTAGCATCCAGAAAGACAGCAGGAAAATTGCAATCTTGGAATCTCGTAGGAAAGCTAACACCTGGCCAACCAGGTTGACAGGAAGAACACGGTAGCTGACAAAAAGACTGGAGACAATGTGCAGGAGGCGGGACGGAGGGAAATCAGAAGACCGTGCAACCCAATCTGCCCACAAACAAAGAGACAGTGACAATAGGAAAACCTGTTCCTCAAGGATGGTACCACCTTGGCAGGTATGCGGTATGCGATGTCTGTTTGAAGAATGATAGCGCACAAACGAGTTGAATGTCTTGCAGCTGGGGGCCGGTTGTTTTGAGAACCATTCAGAGGAGTAAGACAGACTTCTGCGCTACCTGCAGGTCTATGGTGCTCTCGATGTGGTAGGGGTGCCGGTCCTCTTCGTGGCAATCTGCAAAGCATCGAGGAGAGAGTCCAGAGTCCAGCCGTCCAGAAGCTTATTGAATGCTTATTGTTTCCTATGACTGGACGGCTCCATTGACTCTATGACTTGGTGCTGAAGCATCAGGCGCTCCTTGATTGCCTCCTTGTAAGCTTGGAAAGGCAAACCTATCTGTCGGAGAAGCGCACTCTCCACTCCGAATTTGATCGGCACCTGAGCAAGTGTAATGCCCAAGGACTCCAGAAAGCTGCTTCAATGTTTCCCGTGCCCCTCGCTGAATTGCATTGCCAATCCAAGTTGCACTGATGAAAACACGGTGCAGTTCATCATCCCCGTAAGTGTTGTCTTTGTTCTGGGCATACTTTAGCCGCCTGTGGCTGTTGGAATGGCCATTTGAATGACCCTCCTTTGCAGCCTGTCCTGCACAGGGGCGCTCGCTGACGAAACCGTCCCGAGAAAGTGCGCAATCCAAACGTCAATGTGACATACAAACCTGCAAACCTTGAATTCCCATACCCCAGTCCAAAGATCATCGCCGCTTGCGTACTGATTTCATCTCCAAAGACCAACGCTTCAATAATGATCTCCCCAACGTGGCGCTTCCCTTCATAGGTGTGCGATGACAATGGTCTGACAGAAACCCTCAGTACCGCACAGGTTGCTCTCGATGGAAGTGTTCTTGTGACTTAGCTGTTGGCCAATGCTTGTGGCCGAGCAGCTTGCGAACCATGTACTTCTTCCCAAGGATCATGATCGTACCGAAGTTCGGGAGTGGGCCAGGTGCCCCCACCTGACCAAAGAAAAGCGAATCCACAGACCCGCAGCAAAGAAACGCCAGAAGCATAATGAAAGCACCCGCCTCAAGTGGGATGACGTCCAATGAGAAATTGCCTCAGCAAGGAGTTAGCGGAGGCATTGCTGCCAATGAGACCTTCTGAAAGAATCATGGTGATGTCATAGAGGTGTGTGTGTGTGTGCGTGTGTGTGTCATATTATGTATATATATATATAGTGTTTATGTTTATGTATTGTTATGTTTATCCTTGCCTCAACTTCTTTGACGAGGCACTTGGCTCCACCCTCGCATGCTTAATGGACGCAAAGTTGAAGGTTGGCTTCGTTGACTCCTTGGTCGAAGCCTAGGCTGAGCAGTTCCTTCAGCTTTTTCTCCACTGAGACACAACAGCACAGGTGACAGTGACGACACGCTGTTGTCGATCATGTTTGTTTGAGCATTCGCAATGCATGTTTGCAAGCAGCATTCCATGTCAGTGTGAGTAGTGGGCTGCGAAAGCTGACTGCAAACCGCGGCTCTGCTGCAAAGCGTGCGCACGGAAGAAAAGCCAGCTTCTGCGGTATACCGGCATACATTCTGTGCTCTCTAAACTCCAAACACGACAAAGGCGCAAGAGAGAGAGAGAGGGAGGGAGGGAGGGAGGGAGGGAGGGAGGGGGGAGGAGACTGTGCGTGTGTTGATCGACAACCCGAACATTTGCAGTCACGCAGCCATCTCTTGGTTCAAATCAATCGGGGACTTCACACAGCCTCAGCTCTCACAGCTTCTACTCAAACACATGTGTCTTTCCTTGAGCTGCATGAGGTTCATATGTTCCTGTCCTTTCAAAGCTTTGTGCATTTGAGCGATGCACTCGCAGCTTCATCCTCAGCAAGGCCCAGGTCCCAGCATGCTGCCAACCGGTAGCTGGTTCCGGCAGCCTCTGCTGCCTCAAAAGCCGTCGTTCTTGGGGTCTCATCACTTGTTGTGAAACAGAAAGGTTAATCATCTTAGGACTAAACAGGCAATAGCATGCTCAACCCTTTCATCACCAATCATATGTAGCAATACCATCGATCTTCAGGGCTGACACGTCTCAAGGCCTATCATGACCCCAGGATTGACACGCAGAAAAGTGCCCTCAGGTGCCTCGCAAGTGGCTGCAAAGTGCGGGCCGCCCAGCGTTGTGGTGTCCTTTCTTATTTCTCGGCACTCTCCTGCAACCAAAAAGCACAAGATTGCTTGACTGGATCGATTCCAACTGCCACAGACCACCAGTAAGAACATCTCTCTATGTTGCACGATGAAACCACATGGTGCCGCATGACCCAGGGCCTTTGACTGGGGGGCCGCTTGAGCTTGCCACCTTCAAACACGCTAGAACAAGGCTGCCCAAGTTAATGAATCAATTCCTCAAGAGTCATGGCTTATGCCCACCAACCTGCCCAGCATTTCAAGGTTTCTTCCAACGCAAGTGCTTGTGCAGGGAGAACTGGAATGGCCTCACTTCAAAGCCAACTGCAGCCGTTCCACCTACACTCTACAATAAATTCGCTCTGAGCGCCCAGGCATTCCCGAGCACCAGGTATTTGATATTCTCGTGGCACGGTGGCACCGGTTGGCTTCCATCATACCTGGAACCATTTTGGATAAGAGCTTCTCACGACACATACCAGAGATAAGAAACAAACAAGCAAACGGCCGAGGCACTGATAAGAAGGGCCCTTCACGACCTCCTTGATCTCCTGTTCAAGGTCTGTTCCAAAACATAATTCCATCATAAGCAAACACTGAATCAAATTCACCTAGAAACAAGAACGCCACTAGGGGCTCCTGGCCCTACTACTAGGAGCAAGGACGCTACTATGGGCTCCTGGCATCGCTACCATCGCTACTAGGAACAAGAATGCTACTAGGGGCTCCTGGCCTCCCTACTAGGAGCAAGGACGCAAGAACTCTACTAGGGGCTCCTGGCCTTACTACTAGGAGCAAGGACCCTACTAGGGGCTCCTGGCATCGCTACTAGGAACAAGAACGCTACTAGGGCTCCTGGCCTTACTACTAGGAGCAAGGACGCTACTACGGGCTCCTGGCATCGCTACCATCGCTACTAGGAACAAGAACGCTACTAGGGGCTCCTGGCCTCACTACTAGGAGCAAGGACGCAAGAACGCTACTAGGGGCCCCTGGCCTTACTACTAGGGCAAGGACGCTACTAGGGGCTCCTGGCATTGCTACTGGGAACAAGAACGCTACTAGGGGCTCCTGGCCATACTACTAGGAGCAAGGACCCTACTAGGGGCTCCTGGCATGCTACTAGGAACAAGAACGCTACTAGGGGCTCCTGGCCTTACTACTAGGAGCAAGGACGCTACTACGGGCTCCTGGCATCGCCACCATCGCTACTAGGAACAAGAACGCTACTAGGGGCTCCCGGCCTCACTACTAGGAGCAAGAACGCGGGGCTCCTGGCCTTACTACTAGGAGCAAGGACCCTACTAGGGGCTCCTGGCATCGCTACTAGGAACAAGAACGCTACTAGGGGCTCCTGGCCTTACTACTGGGAGCAAGGACGCTACTACGGGCTCCTGGCATCGCTACCATCGCTACTATAGGAACAAGAACGCTACTAGGGGCTCCTGGCCTCACTGCTAGGAGCAAGGGCGCAAGAACGCTACTAGGGGCTCCTGGCCTTACTACTAGGAGCAAGGACGCTACTAGGGGCTCCTGGCGTTGCTACTAGGAACAAGAACGCTACTAGGGGCTCCTGGCCTTACTACTAGGAGCAAGGACCCTACTAGGGGCTCCTGGCATCGCTACTAAGCCGCTACTAGAAACAAGAACGCTACTACGGGCTCCTGGCCTTACTACTAGGAGCAAGGACGCTACTACGGGCCCCTGGCATCGCTACCATCGCTACTAGGAACAAGGACGCTACTAGGGGCTCCGGGCATTGCTACTAGGAACCAGAACGCTACTAGGGGCTCCTGGCCTTACTACTAGGAGCAAGGACCCTACTAGAGGCTCCGGGCATCGCTACTAGGAACAAGAACGCTACTGGGGGCTCCTGGCCTTACTACTGGGAGCAAGGACGCTACTGCGGGCTCCTGGCATCGCTACCAGGAACAAGAACGCTACTAGGGGCTCCTGGCCTTACTACTAGGAGCAAGCACGCTACTAGGGGCTCCTGGCATCGCTACTAGGAACAAGAACGCTACTAGGGGCTCCTGGCCTTACTTCTAGGAGCAAGGACGCCACGAGGGCTACTAGGGGCTCCTGGCATCGCTACTAAGAACAAGACGCTACTAGGGACTCCTGGCCTTACTACTAGGAGCAAGGACGCTACTACGGGCTCCTAG